GTTTGCACCTAAATTACTTTCGGGGAAGTGCATTATTTAATGTCATTTGTCTAAGACACCAAATAAACACCGACGTTTGTCGGCGATTTTCTAAATCAACGTGCCACACGAACATGGATGTTGGGTTCTTCGCTTGGTCTAAGATTGAGGATAAAGTTCGTATACCAACTGTTTACGGCGGTCAACTTTTCCGAAGGCAGCCTTCACGCGGAGCCACTCGGTGGCGCCACCGAGAAGCAATAGAGCCCTTTACACGCAACCGCCCCGAGCGCCACAGACCGCGAGAGAGGTAGGATTCGTGAGTCATACCGCTTTGAGCACCGTTGGCGGAATCCAACAAGTAGACGAAAGCAGGTTGAGTGGCGCGTCTGAGTGAGCTAGTGTGAAGGCTGCCGTTTAGAATTGTGTTCTGCTGACGGTGGCGCAGAAGCGTGTATGCGCTAGTCGTGGGGGAACTTCGCCTCCAAGCGCCAGAGCACCGCTTGTATGAATACCTCCATTTGAACCAATGTTTTGCTAGAGGCGCCACTTGGAAACGCTGCTGAGTGACGTCGTATAAACGGGCCCTAAACTGTTTACCTACCAAGTCCAAAAAGACGTTCATCCCGCATTGCAACCCATTCGGTTTTTCTCCTTACTCTAAGGATTGATTTCTATGTTTATCGTGGACTGCTTTTTATTGTTCGATTATAATATTCCACTTCTGTTTTTTAAAACATGTGCACCTTCTTTTGGGGCAATACCAACACTGAAAACCTCTCTTAAACATTTGTGGAAACAGAAACTTCACACTAATAACTCCAGTACATTGCGGCCATAACAAACACAGTTCTGAAGGTTCTGTCGTATTCTCCTGCATTCGAGGTTCTCTATGGTTTGCACGAGGGCATAATTGAGCTTCTTTTAAATAAATCATACAAAAAAATAGTTTTTCCAAAACACCGGATGTCAAGAGGTGGTAAGGGAAAACTGAGAGCGGAATGCAGTCGCGCGATTACATATAATTACGGGCAAAAAAAAAAACGTTGCCCACGGGTTCTATTATAAAATGTTCGAGTAATCACAGGATCCAGTGAACATAAAAGTATTGTTTTCTACAAGCGTCACGAAATCGCAGATGTTGAAAACAACCAGTAAAGTTCCAAAACCTTGTGATTGAATTCACGACTTTTCTATCGCTAGCACGCTCCAGTCATCTACTCTTTTCTTTGCTTTCGCTTTTACTGCAACGGTTATTGGAAACAAAATAATTATTGTATTTTAATAATCTGCATTGTACAGTAGTAAATTATGTTAGGTCAAACAATGCAACTCAGGGTGAGTACAGCATTGAGTACAAAGTAAATGCCCTGAAGGGCGAAAGACGCGGGTTTCGAGTGCGAGACTATTTCAAGGGGATGGGGAGAAGAGAAAAAAAGCACGACGTACGGTGAATGGCAGGATTCGCGTAGGAATTTCATTCAATGAAGACGGATTTAATGCCGGCTTGCGTTCCTGTTCTCGGGGTAGAAGTTTCATTTAAATGTAAACTAGTGAAAGCGCAAGCCGAATTGATCCTTGAGCCTGATCCTCTAGCGCAACGAGGGGTGGAACAGTGTCCCTGATGAGTAACCGAAAGAGCAAAATACCTTGAGACTTTTCGCACACTGCGTACGCAAATATAAACTTTGAGATTTATACATTTGTAAAAGTGGCCGTGGCGAAAATACTAGTCATTTAGTATTTTTTTCTTTAATATACTGGAATTTTCTTGAGTTTCGATCATTATAAAAACATCATAAACATGACTGAATATCAATAATGAGCGAAACTCAAGAACATTCCAGTATATAAATCAAGGCGGTCCAGAAATCAAGCACTTCTTTTTCCTTTAACATTGTTTTAAATATCGCAGTTAACATAGATGGTGTCTTCCTTATTTAACATGTTTAGCTGCTCAATAGTACAGATTTTGAGGAATTTTAAATGCATTTTTCTCACACACCGTCATAAAATGGAGTAGGGCATAGGCAGATGGAAAGTTCATTTTATGCGAAGCTCCCTCTAACTAGTAGAGTTCGGTATGATTTTTAAACTTGTAATTTCAATTTTCTTAATCGGATGATTTGGATGAGTTGAATTATTTGTACTAAGCTCTTATATTTAAAGTTGTGTACAATGTATTTAAGTTTGCGTAGTTAGGTTCTTTCTGTTCCCGCTTCAAGCTCTGCTTTCTTGATCTTGTTTATTGAACAAATCATGATCCATATTATATTAATTTTTTGCGTGGCGATTCTGCAACATGCATTCTGCATGCGATTCTGCATGCAGAATCCTTTGCCTTTCTATAGTTTTCCATGTCCTAAATCACGTCCGAGCGTGGTTCAGATATTCTCGGCCCTTCGTTAGCAATGGAAGGATTGATGATATGCATTGGCGTCGACAACCGTTCCCGTTGCAGTATTTATAAACTGGATCCGTGTGTTTGAGTTCCTACGCTGGCAAATTTTGACGATGCCTAGTATATAACTATTCTCTGGAGGTCAATTCTAGTTGCATAGATTCATTGAACTAAGTTCCGATTATAGACATTGAAAAAGGTGTAATGACATTTCCAAAGCGCTTAAGTTAGGTTTCCAAACGAGACAAAGTGCTGTCATTGTACTCTCTCGCAAAGCCTACTGCAATGACCGAAAGACAGAGAGTACTTGACGACATCCAATATTGCACATTGAAGTAAGTGGATTACTACAAAATTATTTTAATTACTTTTGGAGTAATACTAGATAAGGAACAATTGATCTTTTTGCGACATATAACACAATTTTGCTTGAAGATGAATGTTAAAGAAAGATATCTGCCGACTAGTACACGTACAAAGTGTTTGCAGTTCGCAAATAATTACACAGTGAGCAAACACAAGTGTAAATAGACATGTGGAAAATCAAGACGGCCAACCCGGAGATACGTGAAATACGCTTCGAGGTAATTAATTAAGGGAACATCCCCAAATGGTACTGTTTCAATTAATTTATTAAAGGTCGTTTTAGAAACAACTAAGGTTATTATCGACCAGTGTTGTTTTAAAAATAAGTAGTATTATAAAAATTAGATATACCACACATAAATCAAAAATAGCGAAAAAAGAAATGAATTCGTTTAAAAAAATTTTTTTTAAATATTTCAACACTAATTTACTGTTTTTAAATTATTTAAAAATCATTATAAATTTTATATATATATATATATATATATATATATATATATATATATATATATACACATACACACACATATATTAATCCCAAGATTTTTTCTTATATTTCAAAAACCAGTATTCTAGGATAATATGACTTAAATAATATATTCTTTTACATTTTGGGCCGTTTTCTTAATTAGGTTGCAATGGTTAAGAGAGAAATGGCCAATACTCTCCAGGGTCAATTGGTCCAGAGATAAAGGCTAAGTGCAAAAAACGTAAACTCCAAAAATCTCGTGGAAATGTCCAATAGTATAAATATTAACTACTGTTTCGCCCAAGTTACTCACATGTACATTGCCTAGTCAAATGTCATATGTCAAATATCCAGAACATAGATGTCCAGTAGTAAACAATGTCCGCTGTAATTAACGCTCCGAGGAATGATACAGAAAATGACGCTTCATTAACAAAACTTTTTTGACTGTTTAAACTATCACATGTGAAAACCAGTCATTTAATTTTAATTGCGATGGACATTATGATGTGAACATTTTTGCTGAGGACTATGTTAATTGGAACTTTTTTGTGGACCGATTGACCTGAAACCCTATTTTGATATTATTCGTATTTATCTTTTCTGAAGAACCGGGAGAGATGGCTCAGGGCATCAACTGATGTCACTGCAGTCAGTCTGATCGGGAGGTCTTGGGTTCGAGCCCCGACTAGCAGGATTTTCGATTAGCTTGTCATCTAGGTCGAACTCGGTCGGTGTCTGGAGGAAAATTCTAACGGCCGGCTGCTCTGATTCGGAGTTTTTCGTGGTTTTTCCTACCAGCACCAGGCGATTGCCGGGGCAGTACCCTAACAAACGGGCCACGAACCGTGCGCGATTTCTTCCTCTTCCTCTCCATTCCTCACACCTTACACATACTTACACTAACATCCAGTACACTACCACACATGCCGGGTGACCGGTTGGGAGCTTAGAGCTTGTCCCGGCTGGGGCGGTGCCCTGCTTGTAGGAAGTACCTGGTTGGGGAAAACACCGCTAGCCGACGGTAGGTCGGCGCCGAATCGCACCAACTAGCGGGGAAAGACCACCTCTACCTCCTGAGCAAAATATGCACTACAAATACGGGACTCATGACGTTAGTAGTTGACGCGCCGGGAATCACTAACAATTAATCAATCTTAAATTAGTAGATCACGGAATATACTGTTAATATGAGATTTGATGAATATTGGTTTAATTTTATATTAATCTTTGAAGTGAAGGGGTTGCCATGGGAAAATCGGGTGAAGAAGTCTCGAGAATGTAGTTGTTCAACATAAAATTATTTTCCCCAATCAACAAGTCTTCCGCGAAGGGGTATTGGAAAGATTGGCCATCACCTTTTGATGAACGAACTTCAATAATATTTAATATCAATATGTAAGTAGATTGTTCAGTTATTACAAGTGCCAGTATTTACTAATTAACAAGTTTTTGTACATTTTACATTATTTTTTTCCTTCTTTATTTCTTAGCAACCGAGCCAACTATATGTACACCGAAGCAAAGGCACTTAATATATTATTTAGGTTCAAAACAACAATTTTCTCTATAAGTGACATTTGCCGGGCTGGTAGGCCGTGGTCTAGTTGTTATTGAATGACCAACTAGACCACAGTCCGAAAAATATCTCTTATATTGACTCTTGCCTTGAAAGCCGACGATGCTATGTAATAATTAGTTATCTTCTCGTCTGCTAATATATGATGCCAAATGTGGCGTCGATTGTTCGGGAAATTTTTCATTTGCTGCACGGACGTTGAAGGCGCGTTGAGTGATCGTCCTCTAGCCCCCGACCTGCTCAGAATCGTCCTCGCGGCGGGGCGGTGGAACGTCGGAAGGGTTGTCGTTGGGCGGCAGGGGCGAGATAGGGGCGTGGGCGGGGGCGTGTGTAGCGACGCGTTGAACGGCGGCGGCGGCGGCGGCTGCGCGGTCGCCGGCGGCGACGCTGGCTCGCTCTGGTGTCGGTCGCCCGCGCCAGTCTGCCGGCGGGCGCTGTTCCGGCCGCTTCTAGTGCTCCCAGCGCTGCCTGCTCCCTCCGCCGCCGCCGCCGCCGCCGTCGTCAGGGCTACAGGACGCGACAGCCTCACGTCTGGCAGCCTTCTGCTCTCGGCCCCACCTGCCTTCTCATTCCGCATGCAATGAAGGTTAGGATTACATTTTGTTAGTATATAATTGGTGGTTCATACATGATATGGCAATTCGTTCGTAAAATGATGATTCTTCTTGTGTAGGAGTCAACAGTTGTAAAGAAAGAATTTTATTTAAACATTGAGAATACAATTTACATTGTACGTTATAGTAGTCCAATGGGAGCGAGTTATAGAAAACTTCTGACAAAATTTGTGAACTTCAAAATGATGATAATTCTATGGTATGAGCAATTGAGCTCATTTATTTATTGTTCATTAATTTATTGTATTGTTTTTCTTAATGTCTTTCTTATGGCTGCCTTATTTGAATGCCAGAAATACACGAGTTTTTCATACAAAAATGTTTACAGTATGTTTATAATAATAGTAATTATTTCCTTAATAAATCTTTATTGTTGTGCTAATTTTGGTTTGAAAAATACTGTTGAATGTTATTTTCTTGAATATTGTTTTAGGCGTTTCAAAGTTACTATTTTGATGAAACGTCGACTAATTTTACAAGACTGTTTTTGCGCTTAAATAAAGAGTTGTCAAAATTAATAATGTTTAAAAAATAATTTATACGAATTGTGAACTCCCTTGGACTCATTTCATGGACAAATTTCCAACAATTTAATTCACATTCACAAATTCAAAAGCATATGTATCAACAAGTTGACATTTATTTCTATTTATGTCGCTTTTAGAAACGTTCTCTTTGGTATCGTTAAGCAGTAAAAAGCATTTCTTATTATCAAACAGTTTTGAAAGACATTAAATCACAAGCTTTGTAGGAGGAACCCTTAAAAAGTAGGAAAGCTATTGGCCAAAATAATCTGTATTTATGTGTATTTAGATCATTGAGTTAATGAGTGTGAAGATAAAGATATATCACAATTAAATGTGCGAGAATGATGTAATGCAAAAATTTGCGAAATGTGCGAGATGTAGATATATCACGAATAAATAATACGTTGATTTTATTGATATACCAAGTATTTAACTACTCTAAATATTAAACAGTAATATTATGAATTGTGTTCCGTGTTTTCTTATGTAATAATTCTGAACGTTATGGAATTTAGTTAGCGTATTTCACATTCATGTAATTATTAAGTTTGCATTTTATCTCGCATACTAAAACAAATCTGCAAGTCAATTGATGACCCAAAATAATTCTTGAAAGAAAGAAGTGCATTGAGACGAATCGGAATATTAATGCCAAAAATAAAGCAAAAATGTTGTAAGTAATCGTAAACAATGTCGTCTAGAAACATAAACTGACAAGACAAAACGATCGTCATGGAAATACGTCATGAAGTTAATGAAAATAATCAAATTAACCTTCATTCATATTTATTACAAGTCAAAGAAAGGTTGAACCTTTATGCTATGAAATATTGTACCAGTCGTCTGATTTAAGAAGTTTAAAGATGCATTAGTGGAAGAATATGATTACAGATATTTGTCATGTGGAGACCTACTGCTGTACTTTAATGACGACTAAGATGATACAAAACTCGACCTGGGTCTACAATCTTGACAATAGTAATATAATGAAAAGAATGATGAATCGTGTGATTTTGTGGACATGAAGATACTATACCACTCTGCTGTAACTGTGATTTCTCGCACATAAATGCAAGAGAAGTTGAAATCGAAGAACCTTTTTACGTTGTGTGTATACAAATAAGTTTGTAAATACAGAAAGTTAGAAATAGTTTCGCTGGCTAGAAGTTTTCATTTTATATGTTACATAGGGTACGTTATTTTGCTTACTTATTAGAAAATATCAAATTTTTCACTTAAATGCGTATGTTCAAGAGAAAACCGTTTATTTCAATTTTGTTCTAAATTATTAACACTAACATTAAATTTTTCTTGGAATCATTAAATCTATCGATATTGAATTTTACTCGATCGTTTTTTATTCTTATGATCTAAAGATTTCATGTTGGAAAAGAGTAGGTACTTCGGTATGCTATAAATACGTTCGGTATGCTACATTGTTCACATTACGCTATAAAAAATAGATACATTTTCAATGAGAATTCTACAAGAAAATAAGATACTTAAAACACATTATATGAAGATCATTAATTTAACGTTGTTAATAAATATGAAGCATTTGTTAGTGTCTATCGTTTTTCTATTTATTCTATATGTTTCGTTTCTATCATTTCTGTATAACCTTTTTATTTTGAAAGTACTATACTGACTCTTGTTTACTGCTTTGGGATGACCATTTGTTAAATAATGTATTTATCTCTCATTCTGGGCGAATGACAGTTAATCTCACGAAACTAAATGTTGGGTTTTCATTAGTGAGAATTAAAACGTTCAGAAATAATCGTGTTTTATGTCCCTTGCCTCATATCCCATTGTAATTTAACGAGCGAATTGTTAATACCATGAAGGAAACACTTGGAAGCTCTTGTATAATGCAAAAATTCACGTTTATGGAGCAAGATTTAATTATTAGCAAGTATTCTAGAATTCATTTTAATACAATTTGAAGCAAATTATTAATTGAGTTAAAATTTTCTAAACTGACACCAAATATAAGTAGAATCAAAGAATTTTAAATTAAATTGAGTGATAAAACATGTGCGTAAAATTATCACAATAGAAAGTGTTAAATTATGTGATGTGAGCACATCAAAACGCGTGGTTCCTCTTTTATAAAATCTGTGAAAGGACGAGAGATAATTATGAAATTTTGAAAGTTCTGTAAGTGAAGCTCATATGTTGTTCTAAAGACTGATATAAGATTCCTATGCATCTTGAAATTGAAAGTTCTGAGATAGAAAGGCGTTGATGGTACAAAAGCGTAAATTCTTGCATTACCCCGAAAATGTCAATTGCATTGTAAATCAAATATGTAATATCGTCGTAACAAAAGTAAGGCGTTAAACTGAATATCTTCGTGTACTTCGTGGGATATATTTAAATATGATGTTAATGATATAGCATATCTGTGTGTGTGAGTGTGTGTATGTATGTAGAAAAAAGTAGGCATTGAAACATTTTCAGAGTTTTTCACGAGTAGAATTACGAGGATACTTTAACTAACACTGAGTAGGAAGAAAATAAATTGCTCACTCTGTACAGAGAGCATCGAGGCATTAATTTTGATATTGAAAACGGGATGTGTTTAGTAATTTACTGCTAACACATTTAGGAACGTTCGAAAACAAAGACATACTACTGACACGTCGATGTTAAGTGCTAGCAAGGGATGGAGAGAAAGAAGGTACGTGACAGTTGGCTGAATTAGTTCTAAATCGCAGGCTATACATAAATGATAACGCCACGAGTTCTCTTCTAAAACTCATTTCGTTATTTATGATTTATTCAGTTACTATCTATGCGGTAGAAACTTATAATTAATAAAATCTGAAGATTCTAAGAAGGCCAGAAATAATTAGTAAGGTTAGTACAAGTAGGTTAACTTTATATTCCAGAACAATATTTTATTAACATTTTTTGGAAAACAATAATATATCACTAATGCTGGCGATGTATTCAGCTGAAAACGGTAGCAATTTATTATACAATCTTTGGCGGTAAAATGTGTTTTAATTGTGGTAAAATTAATGTATTTAGTGGTAGTAACTAATAGTGGTAAAATATATGTAGTTCGAACGACATGGATTTAAAGAAATTGAAGAATAAATGATTAAAGTTAATGCTGAGATAAAATTATATAGATGTATTTAATCAGTGAGAAACAGCGGGAGGTAAAGAGTGGGAAGGATTTTCAGAGGTAAAAGGAGTGTGTTGAAGGAAAGACAGAAAAAGAGCCGAGTTGAAAAACAAAGAAAGGAAGAGATGAACTGTCGACGTCATTGGCACCCCAGACACGAGCGCGCTTTCCTGCGCGGAAGGCGGCGAAGGAAGACCTGGAAACGAGTCTCATCCTTTCATCGTATCAAGGGGGCCGCTCCTGGATGCGAAGACGGAAGCAGCCGGGTTGACTCGTTAAATCGGCGCCTGCAGAAACAACAGAATTCGCACCCCTGACCTTTTTATTTGCGCACCTATTGGCAAACGGGAATCGCAAAATGAAGCAGTTTATTGAGTGATCGATGATCCCGGGCATGTCAACTGCTAAAGTCCTGTTCGTGTAAGGCGTGTTTTTTTCTTCTGGAGATGGCAATAATCTTCTCCCGCTGGATGGCGAGATCCGTTGGCGACCTACCGTCGGATAGTGGGGTTTCTCCTACCAGGTATCTCCCACCAGCAGGCCCCCCCCCATCCGAGACAAATTCTAAGCTCCCGACCGGTCTCCCGGCATGTATGATAGTATACTCGTAGTGCATATAAGTGTAAGAGTGTGTAAGGAAGGGTTGATGATAGGGCAAGAAAGAGAAATGAAAGATCGCGCGCGGTCCGTGGCATGATTGATAGGGTGCTGCTCCGGTGTTTGCTTGGTATTCATCGGAGAAATCACCGAAAACTATCGTTCTGAGCAGCTGGACATTATAATTCTCCAGGCAGCGGCTGAATTCGACCTAACTATCTAGCTGGTGTCGAAAATCCAACCACTGTCGAGACTCGAACCAAGGACCTGCCGGTTAGAGGCACGGCAGCGACATCAGTTGATGCCATGAGACAGAAACGGGGCTGTTTTATCAACAGTGCTGTTTCACAATTCTGACACTTTGTTCTCTCTGACTGGAATGACACCAATTTTTTGAAAATTGAAAATACGCTATGTTTTGGGGTATCTTCTTACAGTTATAATATTGAAGAAAGATATTTTTTCCTTAATGAAATCTGCTTTTTAAAAACGGATATTTAAAAAAGTTCAAACTCCACTTTTCAGAAATATGTGTATTTTCTGTGTATTTTTGCGCGAAATACAGGTAACTTGTTTTCTCAATATTAAGAAAATTTGAAGAAAAAAGTTGGAGCTGTTTTTGAAAA